AAAACGCTCACAAAACAAAATGAAAATAAAAGAATAAAAACATCACCAAATAGCACTAGGAATATTTTTTCTAAATAATCCCAGAAGAGAGAACAATGTAACACTGCTTTTCACCTTCAGTTCCAATTAAGACCAGTTAAATGAGCCTTGATAGCACAGTGGTCTAAGCACCCTGTTATTAACACAGCTGCCTGCAATTACTGCTGGTTGGAATCTCTCCAAGGCTCAAGGTTGACTCAGCCTTCCATCCTTTCTAAGGTAGGTAAATTGAGGACCCAGTTTGTGGGGGCAATAAGCTGACTTTGTATAAATATACAAAAGTATGAAGGCTATTGCTTAACGCATTGTAAGCCACCCTGAGTCTCCGGAGAAGGACGGCATATAAATCAAATTTTAAAAAAAAGGGGGGGTAACACTTTTTTTTTACAGCCCTTTAAAGTAAGCTTATACTTGCTAAAAGAGACATTGATAACAGACCCAGAAAACAAACCCCACAAGAGACACAGTCTCTAGAGCAGTTCAAAGGATTTGAAAAGAATTATTTTGGCAAGAAACAGCCGCTTTTGAAGTTCTTCAGAGGTTCAGCACCATTTCCCCTTAACAAGACCAAACGTTCTTACCACACCAAATGTGTTAACCAGCTGACAAATGCAAATGCCACATCCAACAACTGGTTATTGCTCACTACAGTCTTAGATTGTATCAACGTAAGTGTAGACTCCAAATTACAGAATATGACAGTTTCAGTTTAGTTTGCATGATCAATCCCCATTTCAAGCATTATAACAAAACTGGAACAGCAATAATCAGAACTATGATAATCAGGTTTCAACCCTATGAAAATGCACTGAAGGAACTAGGAATGTTTAACTTTCTGAAGAGAAAACTGAAGGAGAATAGGAGATCATTCTATTGTAGAGTGCAAGGCACAGAATAATTATTCTGATAGAAAAACAGATTCCAATTGAATATTAGAAAAACTTTCTACACAGGAGTTCAATGATTAAATCAATTACAAGTACGCAAATCAATTACGCTGCTCCCTTGGTTGGATAGTTCAAGCAGACGGCAACAACTATCTGTGGGGGATATTTAATTTGGATTCCTTGACTAAGCAGGGGATTGGCTTCGATTGTCTAAATGGACCCATTCCAACTCTGTTCTTTTAATCCGATTTATCAAGAAGGAATTGTTTAGATGGCATCTAATGTCCAGCAGTCTTCTTTTTTGGAGTTTATAGCTGTTCTCCAAATTGCTTTATCCTATCTGAAGTGGAATAGTTGGAGGCTATACCATTTTTCTGAAATTTTTCTTGCTAAAGATTTTTTTCCCCCAATTCTAAACTCAAGTCATTAAATCTATGCCACTTTTATATCTCAAATTAGCAATCTCAAATTAGAGTCTATATTGCTGGCTCATGATAAGACAAATACCAATTTTCAATATTAAAATGTAGGAATAGCAGATGTTTGAAAATTGATTGATATACGCTATAAATCACATGCACTCATTTTTTCCTACTTCATGGAAGAAATTATGGATATTTTAGTACATGTGATACAGTAGCTACAGTAAGGCTGTGCAGCACTTTGGATATAAAGAGTAAAGGGGACTCCAGACCTTTCTGAGTGCTTATGTATCTCCTCTCAATATGCAGCATACAGCTGCCTTCCAAAGCTTCACTGAAATCCTTTGAAAACATATATTTGATTGAAGGAGCTGCTGATGTATCCTACCTGTGTGCCTAGAACTTCCCAGCCAGAAGTTCTCACATCTTGAAAGTTGCTGAGGTTGAGAAATACTGGTCTAAAGCATCTTTACCCGTTTTAGTTCAAAGCACTAACAGGTTCTGCTAATTTGCTTGCAAAACAGAGATGTTCCTAAGAAATAAAAGAATGGAGAGGAATCCAAGGGATCTTCTCTCCCAGCATTAGAAAACATGTCACCCTCCAGATGTTATTGAACTACAACTCATCCCTCAACCATATTCACTAAGTGAGATGGGCCTTTTGGAAGACCTGAAAGATAAAGAACTGGATAGCTTCTGCCACGTGGATTAACAGATGCCTAAAAAAAGAGACAGTTAACAATCCTTCCTTATTCCCATTGTGTTTAGCCTCAACAGTAAACTGAAAACATTGCTACTTGTTCAGCCACAACAGAATCATCATATTTAGTTTTATATTTAGTCTTTCCACTAAAATGCCAGAATGGCTTATAATAATAAAAATACAGAAAAAGTAAATCTACTATTAAATATAACAATTATAAAGACAAAAGGGAAATAATAATTAGTGGTGAAGAATTACTGATTTTTGGTAATGCAATGTATTTCACCTAATGCTTCTTCCTTCTGCTTTAAAAACACCCACCTAAGAAAATGTTGCAACTCTCATAGTATACAAAACCTTGGTAAAACCGTTAGTTTCAACACTAAACAGACAAAGTGTGGTCTGTGGTTATATGTATTACCTCAAGCTTAACAGTCATTTGACATTATTTTGAATATTAATAATATAAAAACCATACATATATAAATGGCCCTTTCTTCAAGCAGTTTAAGTATTATTCTTAAACTAACTTATCTTAAAAACAGTTCTCAACTTACTTCTAAATTATTGAAATGAAATGGTGCAGTTATATTTTCAAGAAATACTTTAAAAGAGCAATTGGTCCTAAATTAGCCAGTGAGCTTGTTGAGGGCTGATTTCAGATCTATCTTGCATTATATTTAAGGGGCGTGCATAAGCGCACCAGCGTGCCTACCGTCCCTGTCCTAATGTTTTCTTTTATCCTTGTATCCTTTTCATGTATTTATAATTATGTTTACACTTGTATGTCATAAAATACATGCTTGATGAAATAAAATAAATGAAATAAAAAATAAATAAAATTATATGGTTTATTTATATAGCACCCGCAATTGTATACCATTATAACAGAACTCCACAGATAATTTGTAAAAGGTACGCAAGGAGGCTGCAATCTAAAAAAATTGAGAAAGATAGAGATAGAATGCAAATGAAGTTACAAAGATTTAACTCTGTTAATTACCTCATGCCAATACTCCTACATGGCAGGGCACATAATAATGTTCTTAAATTGCAGGTAGATAGTTCCCAGTTTAACTTCTTAATAATAGCATTTTAATGGCTTGTCACATCATCAAGAAAAGAATGTTCAGATTCCTGCAGCAGATGTTTTGAATGCTTCCAATAACATATGTTAAGATTTTTTAATATCTTTTTTTTATATATATCTTATTTTAAATAAGCCCAATATGCTGGGGGAAAGGCTAGCATGAAAGCATGAATCATCATGAATCAGAGCCTTGGTAGTACAGTGGTCTAAGGCACCCTGTTATTAAGCTGGTTATTAAGACCAGCTGCCTGCAATTACTGCAGGTTCGAATCTCTCCAAGGCTCAAGGTTGACTCAGCCTTCCATCCTTTCTAAGGTAGGTAAATTGAGGACCCAGTTGTGGGGGCAATAAATTTGTATAAATATACAAAAAGGATGAAGGCTATTGCTGAGCACATTGTAAGCCACCCTGAGTCTCCGGAGAAGAGCAGCATATAAATCAATTTTTTTTAAAAAAATCATCAAACAAAGGAGGATGAAAAATTCCATGCACACAAGGGAAAAAAATAAATTCCTTCTCAGGTGTACTTTCAATAATAATTTTCAACTTTCTATTAAAATATTGCTAAACTATCAAATGTGGACTTTATTTCAATTGGGCATCATTACTATTATGAACCAACCTATAGAAGTTAATTTGCTTCTAACCAATATATTTCAAATGCAAATAGATCTAATAACCTGCTTAATACAAATTACTATACTTTATCCTAAACTGTTCTGCATTTCATATACATCTTAATAACCAAACAAAGCCGATAAATCATTTGCTAGTTTACTACAAAAAAGCTATTCTTGGCTCCTTCTCAATCTTCAGAGGGGCAGCACTTACAAAATGTTAAGTAAGTAACATTTTTACTTACTTGCATTTTAAAACATGCATCTTAACATATAACAACAGTTAACTCAGTGTATATAAATTACTGCATTTTTATATATTGTTACACATTACAGGACCATAATTAGAGAAATGTCAGTTTAGTAGTAATGGTTCATTTTCTTAGAATATCATAGGAGTTTTCTGAATATAAATGACCATGCCTAAAACAATGATAAATGATATAAACATATCATTTGTATGGGATCATACTACAAGCTGATATGACAAACATTTCATCATCCAATAATGATACAGTACTGTAATGCTAGAAGCTTACATTATTACTCATCAGACTGTGCTTAAATGCCATTTCCCACAACCCCATTAATTCCAGTTTAAAACTGTCTTTTAACAACAGCTTTCCTAAACTTTGGAAAACTAGAGTCTGAAATACGGGATGGTGAAGCGTAACCACGACAAGGTAACTTCCACATTTTAGCTCCCCTACGTCTACTTTAGTGAGTGATCCCACATTGTGCTTTTAAGTGCTTTTGCCCCCACTCAAGGCAGCATTATGCAAACCTCTGCCATTTCAGTTTGGACCTTTGGCTGACTTTAAATCATTACCCACTCTCTGTAAAACCGGAATGCTTTCATCCCAAAGGAACGGAGGGCATTCAAGAAAGTTTACTTCCTGCCATTCCTGCTGTCATCCAATGGGGAACCCTGAATCCATATGCTAAAGGCAGAAATCCGAGATGCTAACCCTTTGGACCGGTTCTGCTTCACCCACACTGCAACCTTCTTCTCTTGCGTTGCGGTGCTTGTCAAGTTTTCCAACTTCCCGCGGAGAAATGCACACACTCCAGGGAGAGCCAGCCTGGCCACCTTTCTATAACCCCCTTTGACAATGCATGCAATTGTGAAACAAAACCCTGAGCACTGTTGGGTAAGGAAGAAACTTGGGGTAACCCAAGCTGATCACCCATTGCTCAGCTCCGGCTGCCCTCGCTGCTCCGGCGTTAAGAGAAAAACCTTACCTGCTTCCTCCGCTCCATAGCTCTAGAGGTGGAGACCAGGTGATCCTGAGCAGGTTGCTTTCTCTCGACGGGAACCCTCGAGCCGGAACAGCAAGATATCCCGGCGTTGGGGTTTGCTTCGTGCACTCCCCTCTTCCTTTCTCCCTCCTTCCCTTCCTTCCCCTCCCTCCTTCTCTTTGCCGATACACCCCCACCCCCGAAGCTGCTCTCTAGACAAACCTAGTCCCCGTTCCCATGGTGACAGGTACCGCCTCTTGACGCGCACGGATTGGCGGAGGCGCTCCCCTTTCTGGGACTCGCGTAGGCCTACGATTGGGCTACCTCGAGACAACCAGTTTCGGTTGCGCGGCCAGAAATTAAGCGACGAAGGTGCGTTGCACCGAGGGAAAGTACGTGGCGCTAATAAGAGCGGGCGGCGCTTTTTTTTTTTTTTTTCAAAACCTGATTGACGCGCTGCTTTGAGAACGGGAGCCGGAGGAGGAGCTACGGAATGCAAAGGAGCCAATGGGAGAAGCCTAACAGGGAAACCCACCGAGGGTCCTTTTCCTTTGATAATCTGTCGATGAATTTCCCTTCGCTTGTTTTATTTGAGGGGAGGGATTGGTGGGAGGATGGGGCAGCCTGCTGTCGAATGCAGTAACCAGCATCTGGAATACACCATAGAAACAACATCATTAACGGTCCAATCTATAGCACTGGGACGAAGATATCAGGGCTAATCATTGTCTGGACTGCAGAAATCCGGTTGATCGCTGAACGGAAGAGGGAAACGTGATGTAGAAATCTGGGATTTTTGCACCTCAGATATGCTAATCCTGCAGCAAATCAGCTTCATGGGATTCCGCAGAATCTTTTTATACTTACTGTGCATCAGCGAAACGACGGTAGTAGCCAACATATTGATTATACGTCGTGCTTGAAAATCCGCTTTTCTAGTTGGCTTGTAAATTGTGGGATTTCAATTCCCAGTAAAGTTACTGGGGAGCTGGAAGCACCAAGTGGACCGAAGCAAATATACATGGATCCAAGTACATTATATTTGATAAAGTTGTGACAAGGGTCTGTTGTTTTTGCTACAAATACCATCAAACAACTTGTTGACTATTTTAGGTTCTTGGTAACGATTTGTTAGGTGGACAAAGGTGCCAAATCCAGTGTGAACATCTGGCTGACTGTAACCAACTATAATAAAAACTTATGCATTTAGTCTTATTTTATAAGGGTTGGATGTTGAGAATGGCCTAGCCAATTAACCTTTGTTTTGTGGTATCTAGAGAGAGTGTGGAGAGGTTTATTTTTTTCTGTTGAGCCTTCAGGAGGAATTTAGTTAGTTCTAAATTTCTCTGCAGATATTGAAGTCCTGCAGAGGGTTGGAGGGTTCATTGTCAATCAGATTCTTAGCCCCACCCATCCCACACAATTGCCACCCTTTTGAGGGAGATACTGAAATTCCTATAGACAGAATTATACACTAAGCATAATTTACAATAATAAAAATAACGTAACATTTGTGTAACTGGAAAAAAAAAATTATAAATTGTCAACTTCCTGGCTCTTCATAGACAACTGAAGAAGTAACATTAATATAACTATTTCCTTCTACACAATATCTTTCATAAATGTATTCGAGTGTTGGGTTGATTCTAATGTAGATAAAAGAAATAATATGAATAAAAGAAAGGAATCATACAGTCAGATATATGGGCTCTGGAGGACCCTCTCTATTCACATTATTATAAGAGAGGAAAGTGCTTGTTGGAAATTATATTAACAAACAGTTAAACCCCATTAAGTGGTAATATATCTTCTGAGACCTAGATGTCATGAAAGGACCGCCATATGGAAAACATCTGAGTGACCTCACTGTGAATGACACAAAGACCTATATGTTACAAAGAGTTACTTAATCCAATAAATTTACCCAAGGACAGTAGTAACTCTCCCATTAGCAACTCCGAGCACTTAAGAAAAGTTGTGTGGCTAAGATAATTTTATAAACTAAGATTAATGGTTTAAGTAATTAGATGAACACATTATCCAATGTATGTAACCATATAGGGAAAATCGGATATATGATCTCATGTTAACCATATATGGAAAATGTATGATCTCACTGAATCCTTTGTCTTAGAAATGTATAAAACCAGTTGTATCAGGGTTCTTCTCTTGTTCAAAGCTTCATGTACAAAACTGACTCTGAACCTTGCGCAATAAAACTGTCTCTGGCTGACCCAGGAATGTTGCTTGGTCCTCATCATTCCACAACAATTCTGAATAATTTGAAATAATAATTTCAATAATGAAATGATTGGAAAAAATACTATGTTGCTGGGAAAACATTCTTTTTCATGACTACTACTTAGTCATTTTAGCCTATACTTTAGTCACTGTAAAAAAAGGAACTACTTTGCCTTTTGAGAGAAAGTTATGCAAGAACCTTATAAAGATAAGTTTGGATTCTCCTTTGCAAAGGTTCCATATAAGGAATTAATCCAGTTTGAGATTTATATAATATACTGAATGATTACTTAAGCATACAGGTTAGATTTACACAAAATGTGATTGGTTTGTTTGATTTTAAGTTGTATGTGAAAACATTCACTATATGATTTATTCATTAAATGGTAATACTATTAATTATATCTGGGTGGAATCAAGAATTTCCTGCCTGAACTCTTTTTCTCGTACAACAGCATGGTTGAAGGAATTATAAATTGTGAGGTCAGAGGAAAATGAAATGCATGGTTATAAACTAGTGTCAACAATTTCTTACCACTCTGGGCTACCACATCTTTGAAGAAACAATATACATATATTAAGATCCTTAATATTATTCTGCAATAAATATTATCCCATATTATATGTGACCTTTGTGGGAAGTCCTCCACAAAGAATGAAATATTTTGGGAAATATTAAAAAAGACAGAATATTATATTTCCCTAAAGGAAAAATGGAGAAACATTATTTTAGAGGCAGAAAGCAGAACCCAGTCTTTCTTAATAGCCGACAGCAGATGCCAGCACTTAAGGAGATAAAGAGCTTATTGAAAGAGGAAGCCAACTATCTAGATGGCTCCATTCATAAGCAAAACAAACATTGCCAACAGAAGCCCATTCAAGACAGGATATTTCAAAACTCCTTGCAGCAACGTTTGACAGCTAAGAAAAGCAGAATGATAGGATTAGTACAGCAGCCCTTCATCCAAGATCCAGCACAGGACAAAAGCCATTAGCCACAATAGGAATTGCCCAACACCCTTTCAGAACATAAGCTCCTTCATTGCACAACTCCCCAACTCCCCCCACTCCCCAGCAGCATTTCAGGACCTGTATAAAAATCCTGGCCCTCATCTAGCTAATTGTTCAGCTGACTCAGAACTGCATGCTGTCTTTGTGTGTGGTTCTGTTCATCAATAAACTTTCTTTCCAATCAACCTCCATGTTGTTTCCAGCGTCTTTTTCCCAGCTTGGAACTGAACCAGATGGATTTTCCTTTCAACACCTTAATACTAATTTCTCCCGGTATTATTATTACAAGGAATGGAAAAACCTATTGTCAATAATCTTTGTAAAATAGTCTTTCCAGTTGTTTTGTAGCCAGTTACAGGAAATCATGATTGATTTTCCAGTGAGAGTAAAGAATTCGGAACCTATGCCAGGTATTTTCCCTTTCTCAAAGAAGGAAATCAAATTTGGCAAAACTGTACTACATATCTGTTGCTAAGAAATCTGCTGTTTGTTCCTGAAAATTAGGCTTATTTTAGAAAGTGTTCAGACACCGTATTTCCTTAATAATCATAGGAAAAATATCAGTGGTAACGTTTCTGTCATTGGTTTACTTTTAAAAAGTAACTGAAGCAAGGAAAAGGGGCAGACAAAGGTCTGGTGACCCCTAGAGTTCCCAAAATAGTAAGTCTGAGACCTTCACCTTTCACTCTGTCAGCTCAGCCAGGTTGCTAGAGATGGAATTTTTGGAAAACAAAATCTGTGCATTGTTATAGTTAATTATAGAAAAAGGCGCAGTTTAGACAAAGGTTTTCTAGAAGAAATACATGTTAGAGGACTTCCTCTCAGAGCAACTTTCTATAGCTCTCAAATGTGACAATAAACTTTAGAACACAAAAGATTTTATAGCAATGATAAATGTCAAAGAAAGAAAGGTGGCTTCAATTCCATGGATTCTTGCGTCATTTCTACAGGAATCAATGAGTATGAAAATATTTTCATAGGGAAAATAAATATTTAAATATTGAATACATATACATCCCAAAATAGGAACAGTTATACATGTCCTAATCAGGAGTGGGTTCTACTTACCTTTACTACCGGTTCGTCACAGGGCTGTGCGCACATGCACTCTTCTGCACATGCGCAGAAGCGTTCTGATGACATCGGGGTCGGTGGGCGGAGCGTCCCATCGGTTTTACTACCGGTTCTATAAAACCGGTGCGAACCGGGGGCAACCCACCACTGGTCCTAATGACATATCTTAACTAGTTAGAAAATTATACACTGATTACCAATTCATTTCCCAATACATTTAGGAGTTATTTGAAAATAGCTACATGTGGTATCTGTAATGATTAGCATGCTTAAGAATTGGCAGATAAATATTGCTCAAATATCTGTGATAGTAAAAAATGTATATTAGTTTCATGTAATTTATTCTATAAATTGTTTACTGAAATTTTCAATATAACAACCAGTGATACTTCCTATTCGATCTACAGTACTGATTGCATGCCCTCCCCACCATAAATATAAAATGTATTTACAGTACAATGTATAGCCTTATGCATAAACTTATTTATTTCTTAGAAATCCCAGATAGAAAGATCTGATTATTTTAAGGGATATATATATTTTACATTCGTGTCATTTTTACATTGGCTAAAGGACTAGGAATAGTGTTTAGCCCAATAATGCCAAATAAATAATACACAATTCCCAGCAGTTCTGGATAATAATGCATACGGTGTGAATTGCCCAAATTCTGACTGAATGTACATTATACAAATATGCAATTCTCTAAAAATAAAAAAAATAGGTAAATATGTTCCAGAGCTCTCTGTCTTTCAATATACAGTACATATAGTTTATTTAATGCACACATCTAATTCAGTTAACAAATACACAGTAGTTTATAATCTTGTATCTATGGAAATTCTCAAACATCCAGGTCA